ATCTTTTACCTGCTTAAATATATCCGAAACTGATCGATGCACAATTATCATGAAAAATCGTTTAGAGAAATTGCAAAAAGACAACAACAAAAAATTACTTTCAAATATTTGGTCTGATCCAAGAACAGGTACAATGTATATAAACACTCAAGAAGGTAAAAACACAGAATATATGTACATACTGTGATCTCCCTAGCATTAGTAAATGTAGATTGAGATAAGTGTGTACTAACTTGATAAATTACATTAAGATGTACTGGTATATGGGAATGTTTGCTACATGTATTTACTGTTTTCTATTTTTATTTATCACATTTATTTATTCAAATCCAAATCCAGAGAACATGTTATCTTTCAGCACGAAAGCCAAAACATAATTAACCAGAATCATCAAATATCAAAAATTGAGACATTCATTTATATTCCAGATTAAAATCTGTAAAGATCATGCAATTTCAATGAAAGAGCCAGTAGGGCAAACAATCTCTTACAACAGTGAAATTGCTCCCCGAGACAATATAATGAATTATAATGCTGCTTGAACCTATTATGTATGCAGTACTATCTATGTTTAAGAACTCACTATTGCAGCAGGACTTAAATTAACAGTAACCCAAGATGCACAGACTACATGTACTAACTGTTGTCCTGAGGGCTACCATTTTCCAAAATTATTAACCAAGCTAGAATAGGTACTGGCAGATTACAAAATAATACAAATTTTACATTAACCAGTTTGTCTTAAAAATATAATTTTAGTTTTAATACATAATACTTGAATAGATTTTGTTATGATAGGGAGGGTGAAATGAATTTCAATTATGTCACTATATATTAATGTAATCTTCATTTATAACGGTTGCTATGGTTAATTCATGTTCCTAAAGTCTAATTATTCATAATCTGTACAGCATTGACTTTTCCTCTGAAGCCAGGATTTTAATCATGACTCGTGCATTATTTGTGATAGCCAGTAAATATTCATGTGAACTAACATTTGTTTGTAGAACTATAGGATGACAGTGAAATAAATAAATGTAGGCAGTGATATAATTGTCAGCTCTTCACTGTTTCACCACCAGTTCTTACTTTTCATCACATATTCATGGAATAGTTTATAGTCTGCACTTTGCTTCAGAAGATTAAGCCAAATATAACCAAATGTATGAATACAAACTCAAAATATAACCAAATTTGTAATTTTGAAACTATTGTTTTTTTTGTTTATTTGTGTTTGTTTTTTCTGATCTGTATCCTTACCATACAGCACCCACTGATGGTGCAGTTGTGTAATAAAGTTATTATTATTATTATTATTATTAAATGTATGAATAAAAACTCAAAATTGTGTCTGTTGGCTCCAAAATTTGGGTTCATTTCCAGAAATATTGTAGAATATAAATAAATAGTGCAGACAAATTTGGGCGAAAAGTCTGGTGGTGAAAAGGATAAATATGCAAGAACAATCCTGCTGATATAATTGTTAGCTTTTAATTATGACAAAAATCAATCCTTACCTCATTTAGCTGTGCTGGTAGCATGATCATTCTAATATATTCCAGTAACTTAGACACAGTAACTTTTCCAGTGCTTTCTGGATCACATGAAAAGAAAATCGTATCCACCAAGTCCTCTTCTGTGATCAGACGACTCACATTACCATCACAAGTAAGTGACGCATTACTGCAATGACTTTTAATTTCATTATCCAACGGTGATGATAAGAAAGCGTTATCCGTTTCTGACAAAGTGTTGTTAACTTTTAGAGTGTTATCACAGTGGTCATATGTGTCATTAAAACATGGCTGAGAATCTGTTATGTTTTCACCTTTTGGTTCTTTTTTAATTTTATCAAATAATGACTCACCATCCACGTTATCTTTCTTTTTGTTTGTGTATTGAAACGAATTACTGATTCGTTGTGAAAAACTAGATTTCACGTCAGATGATCTGGAGACTTCTGGAGAATAAGACAATGGGCTAATAGTATCGGAAATACTGGCACTAGCACCTCTATAATCCCCGTACTGACTTTTCATATCAAACTTGCGATAAGGTTTATGGTCATCTTTTCCACGTGTACTGCTCAAAGAACTTTTCTCAAAGTCCGGCAAAGAAAACTTTGCCCGGTGATTAGGACTGGAACCTTTTGTATCTGGAGTCCACTGTATTGAATGTGGTGATTGTAAATCATTTTCTGAATATTCGGATAATTTTAATTTATAAGAACTTTTCATGTCTTGTGCTTTAACAGTTGCATCAGGATGTCTATGGTAACCAAATCGGCCTTGTTGATATGATGTACGAGCAGATACCAGAGGTGATATTTTTGGTCGGTAATGAGATATGCTGCTATGACTGAAACTACCTCTGACTGAACCATTGCTTAAAGAGTCAGCTTTTTTGTAATGCTCTAAAGTTGGACTGCTATAGGATTTCCCCACTTGTTGATCAGTCCCAGAGTCTACAGGAATAATTGTGAAAGAGTCAGACAATCTGTAAGATTTGGTACAAGATGAAGTGACAGTACTTTCATAGCAGTCCATCAGATAATCCCTTTTTTCAGTCTTTAATACTGGGGCTGTGTTTGCAACATGTGAATAATCCTGAGGAACAGTTCTACATGTAGTTGTGATATTGTCCGGGCTTTTGTATACTCCAGTGGTGGATATCTGCTCTGGCTCGGAATCATTTCTGAACACTTCAAAAGTTTCATTAGATTGAGATGAAGGAGTTCCTGAATAATCACCTTTCTTTCTCATCGCAAAACCCGATATATCTTTACTTTCATCTTCCAAACTCCAAGTCCGGCTTGGAGTTAATATCTCGGATGAATAAGCAGCAGTTGCCATTTTATATTATTTAAATTTAAATTAGATTAAATACAGATTAAATACAATGTATATATTAAATTTATCCAAACAAATAATAAATATTATAGTAGAATTTCTTTTTTACATGGAACGTTTCACAGTTGAGGTTCAATGTGCATTGCTTGATGGTTGTGGCAAGTTGTCTTCAGTAAAATCCAACATCTATTGAGAAAGAAAAAAAACATAGATTTGAGTAAAACTGTACAATCAATAAATGTGCTATCTCAAGAATAATTTAAGCAAGCTATAAGCCAGGGGATAATATAACTATACATTATCACTTAAAGCACAGTTCACATAAATCACTCACAGTTGCCAACATTCAGTGCTGATATGGTACATGACGTCATGGGCTGTATTAACCACTCACATTTGGTTTGTGGATAATACAGCCATTATGACGTCACTTGCATCAACCAGCTCTATGAATAAGTAATATCAGGTGATAACCTTATCAGGACTATACAATTATGCTGAGCCAAAAAAAGAATGTTGTGGTTCTGATAACATGTACTTTAAAAACAGGTAAAAAATGTAGTGAGAAATAATTCTAAACTCATAGTTGCTGTCGACATAGGAAGTAAAGTAAGCAAATAACACCGAATAAACGGCAAGGTAAAGA